CAAACACAAGTTGGCTTTTGTACATATTTCATTACGTGTGGTCGAGGGCACACTGATGTTACCTAATAAACAGGAAGTATATATTATAAGTATTGATAAATGCCATAAAAGTTCTTAAAAACACTGATGAAGGAACGAATGAACACAGAGAGGAAGAGGACGGTTGTATAAGATTACATTTCATTCACTGTAAGAAGATTATGCTTCTTTTTACAAAGAAAAATTCAACAATAAATGTGCAGGAAAAAAAACATAATAAGAACCTGATGTAAAAGCATTTTCACAACCTTTCAGATAAACAGATGTTAATGTTACAGGAGCATTTCTGAGACAGAGACATGATGGATTTCTCCTGGTTGTATTTCTCTAAGCTGATGTTTTTAGTGTACTTACAGAGCAGCCACAGTAGAGATGTTCCCTCCATCCTAACACTTGTTATATGAGATCTATACTTTGATCAGTTCACAGTCGCATCAAGTAAAACCCTCCTCCTTCCTGTGACTGGCAGTGTTGTGGTTTCCTCTCATACTGAAGGTGACAAAGTTGAGTCATTTAGTTAGAATAAAGCAGATAAATTCACTTTTGAAACAATGCTTGAACCATAACAGGAAGTGAAAAGAGTCAGAAAACAAAATGAAACTCTGAGATGAAAAGTAAAGCAACACCTGACACAGAATGTAAATAAGAACAGGAATATGATGCGTTCACTGACACTTAAACTGCTTTTTAGAGATTAAGATTCCAGCTGTTTATTAGCAGTTGTCAGAGATTCACTATAAAATGACTTCATGATTAATTTCAGAGTAAAAGCTGGATCTCTGTGCAGGTAAACAACAGTTCAGTTGGAGGAAGTGAACAGGAGCTGATTTTGTAGCTGTGTGCCTGACAGCTTCTCTCAGTTTTAACCACTGAGCTGTGGTCAGAAAGAGGCTGAAACTCAGTGTGTGTCTGCACGCTATCAAACTACACATCAGGATGAGAGAACATGATGCATTCACTACACCTGAATACATGAACAACCATCTAATAGCATCTATTTATCTCTTTGAGCCTGAGGACGCAGACTGTTCATTATTGAATGACCCGTAAAATATGGTGTAGTTAGTTCAATGGACCCAAGCCTTCCTCACACCAGTCCAGTCTATAGGAGGCAGAGGCAGGGGTGGACTGGCCATCTGGCATACTGGGCATCGTCCCCCAATGTGGGCCGTTGACCCAATGTGGTCCGGTCCGGTCCGGTATGTTTTCTTTCTCTCTCTAAATTCCCTCCAGTTGGGCCAGTTGGCTACAGAGGGCTAGCAGTGTGTTGCCAGCATCGACACATATTATTGGTCTATGTTTGTCATTGTCAATCAATCAGTGCTGTCAATCACAACACAAACCAGGGTGGGCGGGACCTCATGGCATGGGCCGGAGTGGCGGGAAGGGCTGCTGCTGAGCTGAAGATGGATAACCGTAAGAAACTTAAAAAGCTGAAGTCTCTGGAGGTGGAAGCTGCTAAATGTTGGACATTGACAGACCTATTTGGTGCCGGGGTCACCACCCCAGCAGGTGCTGCTGCGCCGGGAGACGAGCGAGTGGAGGCAGACATGGTGAGTAACGTTAGCCTGGTTGTTCCATTGAATGTGATGGGACCTCATTAACTGCATACTTGTGACAACATATTAGCCCAGAGTGGAAGGGCTGGGACTGTTGGTAGTTGTGCTTGATTTGGTTTAAATATGCCGAATTGGGATATTATGGGTTATTATTGTTCTAAGTTAGCTAACAGCTGCTAACTCTTGTTGCCATAGCAACAGTAACCATTGACATGGACTGATGACTGGAAATAGAGATGCAGAATCAATATTGTAAATACAGATGAGATACTTTGAATTAATTAGGAAATAATGAGTTTAATTTGCAATATTTGCCATTGAATTTATCTTTATCTTTCAATTCAGTTATTGTTTACTGAGGTCATAACTATTTCGTAGGTATAATTTGTGTGTAACTTTAATTTCTGTGTAAATGTTACTTTTACTGTAGTTTTCAAATGGCTGTGTATAGTGCTGTCTTGAGCATTTTCAGGTATTGTCACAAAGATCATAATGAAAACATGACAAAGCCATTAGTGTTGTTACGCTCGTGAACGCAACATGTGTATGTTGAAAGGTTCATGTGAAGAAACATACTATATGTGTGATAAAATAACAATTGGTAATTCATAAATGTCTCTTTATATTCTCTGCTACCATCAGAGAGAGAGAGAGAGAGAGAGAGAGAGAGAGAGAGAGAGCTTCGTCTTGACTTTGGGAGTTTATTATGCAACTTGTTTTGTCTCAGATTGAAACAAAAGGTTTGATTATGATTATTTCCTGGTTGAAGATTTTCATATTGATGATTTTAATTTCAAACATCTGCATATCTTTTAAGTTCAGTTAACAGTTATGCAGGTAGGCCTTAGGGCTCTTCTGAGACTTCAGTCATCCTTCATGACAGATACATTTGTTCACTAAGTGTCACTACATCACAGAAAGGCTACATGGCTACATATACTTGTCAGTACACAGATACTGAGTACAAGTTGTGTTTGCTGTTTCTTGCAGGTCATGAATTTGGTGAGGAGTGGAGCTGGCTGGCTGCGGACGAGGAAGTAGGGCAATATATACATGTGCACATACACGTATATGAGAATGCATATCTATTCAGACCTGTAATTCATGTCTTAGACTTTTTCACACAGCTATAGATCATTATTTTATGGTTTCATAATGACTGAGTCACCGTTAAAACCAATGAGTTTCAGCTCTAATGCTGCTACTGTCTGTAATATGTTTCTGTTTAGATTATTTGTCAGGAGATTTTGTTATTATTGTCCCAGTCTGCTTTTAACTAATGCTGGGCTTACACCAAAAGATTTTCACAGTCACAGACTAAAAACTGAAAGGGTAGCATGAGGGTTCTTCCCGTTAGTCTCGTCCCACCCCTAGTCATGATATAACTTCTGTTGTGATTTGACACTATAATGAATAAAGACTGATTGATTGATTGCTATAGCTGTCAGTTTTAGTCCTTGAGTTCATAGTTACGTGCTTTATTTGTTAACTGCTATCAAGGAATATGACTCTCCTTTGTAGTATGCATGAGAGGAGATGCTGCGAGATTTGTGGACTTCTATGTAGTGTCTGCTGATAATGTAGTGGGCTGGTCTGGACACAAAATGCCAGGGCTGAATTTTTGTCCTAGTCCACCCCTGGGCAGAAGTGGCAGTCCTGATCCTAAAGGAGTGACCAAAGTAATTGACGGAAGGAATGCTGGACAAGGAGAGTAGGTGGCAAAACCAGAATCAAGAAGCCACTTGTCCAGACTCAGAGATGAAGAGAGGATCTGTTATGGTTATGCTCTGGAAAAACAAGTAGTTTGTCTCGAAAAGATTCAGTGATGATTGGACTTTAAAGTAAGACACCGTTGTAAACTAACCAGATTGATTAGTTTTGGTTAGCTTTAGTAGAATCCTAAGATGTCGACTGAGAGATAAGACAAGTCTTAAATGCAGGTATGACAGTATGGGTCAAAGTGAAGGCTACAGGCGGTAAGTTCAAAACATCCGAAGAAACCAAAAAAGTAAGCAAGAACTTCGCTTCTAAAGTTTGAGCAACATGAGGGATGCTTTATGCAGAAAGTCTGTGGTAAAAGGAAGATGGCAAAGACTTATCAGAACAGTAATGTCATCAGTGGATGGTCAGAGGCCATTTTGATGCCATGGGTTTGATAGGTAATGCAACAGATCATGATGACGAGAACAAACGATGGGAAGGTTACGTTGCACTGGTCATGAAAGTAGGGGAAACTCTTCAAGCTGACCAGTAATACAAGAGGGTTGATAGTGCTCTACTCTTGATGATCTTGATGGAGGTCTGGGAAACGACAGTTAGGGTATTAGGATAGGATATATATGTTCAGTGCAGAATATGGTGGGTTGGTGCTTCTAAAACTCTGGGATGAGAGTCTCCAATGATGCTGGAACGACTGTGAACATTATGATATTTAAGGTAAAGCTGAGGTGGACTAGGAGGAGGAGGTCACAACGCTGATAAAGCTTTGCAATTGGGAGTGAAGTCTGGAGCAGATTTGTGTCACGAGTCATTCCCAGGAACTTGGAGGAGGCCTCTGATTTCTCTGCAGACAGTGGAACCCAGAGGTCAGAATAAAGAAATCAGAATGACCATACCTGGAGCAGATGGTGACGAGGGAGGGAAATGATGAGGAAATCATCCAAAAGATGGACAATGGAAACACAAACCTTTCCTGGCGAGGTTTCTGAGGCTGATGGCATGATTAGCAAAGGGAAAAGTCTTTAATCGAATTCAATCTGAAAGACTGATGATAAGACGTTTATTGTCTGAATATTTCCTGGTTGCAATACTGACGGGGCAAATGTGAAAGTTAGGAAATAGAGGATAAACAAATGGGGCAATCATGAACAAATGGTGACCAGTGGTTATGGTGACAAACCAGCCTGATAATGCTTGCTTTGGAGGTAGGGGGCTCTGGGGGGGTTGCTGACAATAAGTGAGAGAAAGCCAAAGTTCTTGCTTGGTGTGGTATAGCACCTTTACATCATATTCTGCTATCACATGAACCAATCTTAGCTAGCTGGCTACCTGGCTAACATATTGGCAGCAGGCTCCATGCAACATAACTAACTTAGAATTATAACTAATAGCCGTTAGATAAAGCTAATAGTTGACCATATATATTTGAATCACACAGTTTGGTTGTTCAAAACATGGAATAAATAACTTCAACTTCACTTACACAAATACTGGCAGACTAATCGATACGATGGAGGATGTGCAACGTTACTTCACCTGTCCTCTGATGGTGTTGGAGGCTGTGTTTGGTTCCGGCCAGGGTCACTGGGAGTCTTAACCTCCTGTGCTAGTGGTTTAAACAAACCTCCTCGGGTACTTTGAGCTTGCAGTCCAGGTACAGGCAGCTAATAGTACTAATAGAAGGTAGCTTCTGTTAGCTCTGTAGATCCCCCGGTAGTTCCCGAGCAGCCGGGAAGACAGGGAGGCTGGGTGACTGAGCGAAGGAAGGCTAGAACGGCGAAGCCCACAGGTCACCACCAACCGCTTCATGTTTCTAATACATTTTCCCCACTCAGCGATACACCCGCTGAGGAACCAACTCTGGTTATTGGCAGCTCCATAGTCAGAAACGTGAAGTTAGCGAAGCCAGCGGCCATAGTTAAATGCATCCCTGGGGCCAGAGCGGGCGACATTGAATCAAATTTAAAACTGCTGGCTAAAGGTAAACGTAAATACAGTAAGATTGTTATCCACGTCGGCGGTAATGACACCCGTTTACGCCAATCGGAGGTCACTAAGATTAATGTGGAGTCGGTGTGTAATTATGCTAAGACAATGTCGGACACCGTAGTTTTCTCTGGACCCCTGCCCAATGTGACCAGAGATGACATGTATAGCCGCATGTCGTCATTCCACCGCTGGCTGTCGAGGTGGTGTCCAGAAAACGATTTGGGCTTCATTGATAACTGGAAGCCTTTTGGGGGAAAACCTGGTCTGATTAGGAGAGACGGCATCCATCCCACTTTGGATGGAGCGGCGAAGTTTATTTCTAAAACCTGACAGTCCAGAGTTGGGACCAGGAAGCAGAGCTGCTGTCTTACACACTTCTCTGCGCTTTCTTTAGAACAGTCACCCACCCAAAACCCCATAGAGACTGTGTCTGTCCCCCCGACCACCTAAACTATTTAAAGAAATAAAAACAAGAGGAGTTCAACATAAAAATCTAATAAAAATTAAAACCAACTCCTCAGTAGCACAAAATAAGAGAATGAAATGTGGGCTGTTAAATATCAGGTCTCTGTCCTCTAAAGCTGTTGTAGTGAACGAATTAATATCAGATTATGACATTGATTTACTTTGTCTTACTGAGACCCACGAGGAGTATGTTAGCCTAAATGAATCCACCCCCCCCCAGTCATATTAATACTCACATTCCTCGAGGCACAGGCCGAGGAGGTGGAGTAGCACCCATATATGATTCGAGCGTTTTAATGGACCCTAAACCTAAACTAAATTATAATTCATTTGAAAGCCTTGTTCTTAGTCTTTCTCACCCAAACTGGAAAACACTGCAGCCAGTTCTATTTGTTATAGTGTACCACGCTCCTGGACCGTACTCTGATTTTATATCTGAATTCTCAGAGTTTCTATCAAGTTTTTATTCCTTAAATCAGATAAAGTAATTATTGTAGGTGATTTTAATATTCATGTGGATGTTGACAATGACAGCCTTAGTAATGCATTTATATCATTAATAGACTCAATTGGCTTCTGTCAGAGTGTAAATAAACCAACTCATTGTTTTAATCACACTCTTGACCTTGTTTTATCATATGGCATTGATATTGAACATTTAATAGTCTTCCCACATAATCCTTTCCTATCTGACCATTATTTAGTAACTTTTGAATTCATACTATTAGATTATAAGCCATTAGGCAAAACTTCCTACAGCAGATGTCTATCTGACAGTGCTGTAGCTAAATTTAAGGAGGAGATTCCTTCAGTGTTTAATTCAATGCCATGTCTGAATTTAACAGAGTCCTATAATGACTTTAGTCCCTCTGAAATTGATAATCTTGTCGATAGTGCTACAGGCTCACTACGATCAACATTAGACTCTATCGCTCCTATAAAAAGGAAATTATTAAAACATAGGAGACTAGCACCTTGGTATAACCACCAAACCCGCCAGTTAAAACAAATAGCTAGGAAATCTGAAAGGAAATGGCGCTCTTCCAAATTATCAGAATATCGCTCAATTTGGCAAGATAATCTTAAAACCTATAGAAAGGCCCTCCGTAATGCCAGAGGAGCCTATTACTCAGCACTAATAGAAGAAAATAAGAATAACCCTAGGTTCCTCTTCAGCACTGTAGCCAGGCTGACAGAGAGTCACAGCTCTATTGAGCCACATAAACTTAAGTAGCAATGACTTCATGAGCTTCTTCTATAATAAAATTATTACTATTAGAGAAAAAATTAATCACCAACTGCCATCAACAGTTATCAGTGGCTCTCCAAGTTCAGGGACTTCTGTCAATGTAAACTTAGATGTATATTTAGACTTCATCAGTTAACTTCAATCATTTCTTCATCGAAGCCATCAACCTGTCTATTAGACCCGATCCCAACTAGGCTGCTTAAAGAAGTTGTTCCCTTAATTGGCACTTCTTTACTGGATATGATTAATCTTTCTTTATTATCAGGATATGTACCACAGTCCTTTAAAGTAGCTGTAATTAAACCCCTTCTTAAAAAGTCCACTCTTGACCCAGGGGTTTTAGCCAACTATAGACCGATTTCTAACCTCCCCTTCCTCTCTAAGATTCTGGAGAAAGTAGTCGCCAAAGAGTTGTGTGACTTTCTACATTACAATAGTTTATTTGAGGATTTTCAGTCAGGATTTAGAGTTCATCATAGCACAGAGACAGCTCTGGTTTAAGTTAATAATGACCTTCTGACTGCTTCTGACAATGGACTTGTCTCTGTACTTGTATTATTAGATCTTAGTGCTGCATTTGACACCATTGACCATGATATTCTTTTACAGAGACTTGAGCATCAAATTGGCATTAAAGGAACTGCCCTAAGCTGGTTTAAGTCATACTTATCAGATCGTTCTCAGTTTGTACATGTTAACGATGAATCCTCCATAAATACTAAAGTTAGTCATGGAGTTCCACAAGGTTCTGTACTTGGACCAATACTATTTACTTTATATATGCTCCCTTTAGGCAACATTATTAGGAATCACTCCATTAACTTTCACTGTTATGCAGATGATACGCAGTTATATCTATCAATCAAACCCAATGAAATTAATCAATTATCTAAATTACAAACATGTCTTAAGGACATAAAATCCTGGATGACCTGCAATTTTCTGATGTTAAACTCAGAAAAAAACGAAATTCTTGTTCTTGGCCCCAAAAACCTTAGAGACTCATTGTCTAAAGATATAGTCACTCTAGATGGCATTAACTTGGCCTCTAGCACCACTGTCAGGAATCTTGGAGTTATCTTTGATCAGGATTTGTCATTTAACTCCCACATAAAGCAGACCTCTAGGACTGCCTTCTTTCATTTACGTAATATTAGAAAAATTAGACACATCCTATCACAGACAGATGCAGAAAAATGCAAAACTAATCCATGCATTTGTTACTTCAAGGCTGGATTACTGCAACTCTTTATTATCAGGTTGCCCCAATAAGTCCATTAAAACGCTCCAATTAATTCAGAACGCTGCAGCACGAGTACTGACAGGAACTAGAAAAAGAGATCACATCTCTCCTGTAATAGCTACTGTGCATTGGCTCCCTATAAAATGTAGAATTGAATTTAAAATCCTCCTCCTCACCTATAAAGCTCTTCATGGTCAGGCCCCTTCATATCTTAAAGAGCTCATAGTACCCTATTACCCCACTAGAACACTACGTTCTCTGAATGCTGGGCTACTTGTGGTTCCTATAGTCTCTAAAAGTAGAACAGGAGCCAGAGCCTTCAGTTACCAAGCTCCTCTCCTGTGGAACCAGCTTCCAGTTGTGGTTCGGGAGGCAGACACCCTCACCACATTCAAGAGTAGGCTTAAGACATTCCTCTTTGATAAAGCTTATAGTTAGGGCTGGATCAGGTGAGTCCTGAACCATCCCTTAGTTATGCTGCTATAGGCCTAGACTATCGGGGGATTTCCCATGGTGCACTGAGCTACTCTCTTCCTCTCTCTTTCTGCACTCATTCATGTCCCTTTAATGCATGTTACTAACTCCACTTCTTCCCCGGAGTTCTTGTGCTTTCTCGTCTCGCAGGTTCTCATGGATCCTGGTGGAGCCTCCTGCCATGGTCCTGCTTGACTGCCATTGCCAATACTGTTGTTGCTGTGCACCTGTCTCTGTCTGTCTCTCTCTCTCTCTCTCTCTGCCTCTCTCTCTCGCTCTCTCTCTCTCACCCCAACTGGTCGAGACAGATGACCACCCACCTAGAGCCGGAGGATCTGTCCTAGGTTTCTGCCTTTTAACAGGCAGTTTTTCCTTGCCCTTGTCGCCAAGGTCTTGCTCATGGTGGTACTGTTGGGTCTCTGTAATTAATGTTAAAGAGTTCAGTCTAGACCTGCTCTATTTGAAAAGTGTCCTGAGATAACTTCTGTTATGAATTGGCGCTATACAAATAAAATTGAATTGAATTGAATTTCAACGTTGGACTGTGAAGAACACACAGCGACATGGATGTATGAAGGACATAAACCCCTAGGGGGTCTGGGGGTCTTCCCACAGAACATTTTCAATTAAGTAGAAGCCATTTCCTGTATTCGAGTGCATTTTAACACCATATTAGCACCAGATAATCCAAACTGCTTCTGTGAGATATAGTTCTGGCTCAATATAGATAGCCCTTAAAGTGCTGAGGGAAGAGCTGTATAAAGCAACTTTTTTAAGATGACAAAACATTGAGACCCAGTTCACAGTAAGAAGAGAAAATTGGGCATATATGAATGTATTGTATTTTAATACTGTTTCTGCATCACGTCACATTGTCTTGAACAGGTAAAGTGGATATTTTGAAGAGATAAACATGTTTTAAAACACAATGTGATGTGAAAATACTTTGGAAATGAGACTTGATGAATGCATTTAAGCAGAGTTACTGTAACAGTAATACACATTTTAAATACTTTATAATGCATGTTTTCTCTCAGTAAACCAACACAATGTCTTTATGAGACAGAATATGTGCATTTAGGAAAAGTTAAGGCTCCTGTTATTACATCATTGGCAAAACAATGTACACATTGAAATACTTCATAAATAAGTGCAATAAGCAGTGGATGACCTCAGTGATCTGTCTGGAACAAAAAATGAAAGAAAGCCCACAGAAGACAACAAATGAGGCTCCACCTCTGCAGCGATGTGTGGCCCGTCATCAATACAATAATCAATTAGACCCAGCAGTCTGCAACACATGCAGCAACCAACAGTGCTACTGATCTTGACACACACAGATTTAGAGATGTTATCTGGTGGATGTTTAACAGACACACAGTCTTTATATGAAGAGAGAAGCACAGAGAGACAGGGCAGCCTTTTCATCAAACTGGGTTAGGGAGGGGGGCTTAAGACACTCGTATGTTCCATTGTCACTGCGTTGTTGATCCACCGGGCCCTGTAAGGATGGATGTTGGGAGGTTGTATCTATACAACAACTGAAAACAAACACTTTTAAGGGTCCACTACAGGTCATCGCCCCCTCTGCAGTGAGGCATCAGCTGTGTCAGCTGGGTCTGTGACAGTTCAGAGGACCTGATTGTCTGCTTCATCAGCATCAGCCGGTTCTATTCCCATAACTTAACAAAGCAGTAAGAAAGCTATCAGTCCAACTGCCAGTCCAACGTGTGTGTTGATGTGGTTTCCATTCCCGGCGTTTCTGTGTTCGGAACCTGAAGATGAAAATGCACATTAGTCAGGAAATGACTGAACAGAATCCATTTCTTCTTCTATATCCCTCATGTTTGACTCTGAGAATCACCCTGAACTCCACTAACTCACCTGAGGCTGTGACCTCCAGTTGGATGGTTCTGATTGGGTCAGTCTTAATGTTGGCTCTCTTACGACGGCTTGGACCACCTTTAGCAACTCGACACTCGTATGTTCCTCTGTCACTGATGATCACGTTCTTTATAACTAAAGACACGTTTCCATCCTTCATCTCTCTGTCTGTCAGATCCACCCGACCCTTAAAGGATGGATGTTGGTAGGTTGGATCTGAGCGTCCGTCTCTGTAATAGAGGACGTACTCTGGCTCCAGGTCAGTTCTGGTCCACTCTACAGCTCTGATGGAGTCATCACCAGCTGAACATGGCAGAGTGACATCACCTCCAGGTTCCACTGATATCACTTGTAGACCTAAAAACCAACAATAAACATCCAGAGAGAAAAAGTTGTTCAGGGAAATCACTTTTAACATTGAGTTGTAATTAATGAATGAGAGCAAAGGTCACTCCCACTCTGCCCCTGTATGCAATAGAAATCAGATTAGAATCCATACAACTATATACAGTGTGCTTGTGGACGTACCAACAGGTGAAGAGAACAGACACAAAAACTCTGCACACTGTGTTTATTCTACAACCAAACTATATACTATAGATTATTTTACACATATTAACTAATAAACTATGGATATATAAAATGTCCTAACATAATAAACTCTGTTGAGTTTGTGATGGCTGTCTGGAGGAGTCTCTCTCTCTTTAACAGTAGCTTCAGAGTGTTTACCTGAGTTACCTGTATAAAGTGGATTGTGCTCACTGTTTGTGATTTCATTAACTAATAACTCTTTTAGTTCTTGCAGTAGTGTGGTTGTGTCTCTGTCGCTCTCTGTCTCTGAGCAGGAGCCCCGCCCGCAGTGGAGTTGATATTCTCTCAGTCGTTAGCCCTGATAGGCTAACGGGCTGACCAATCAGGAGGGGAGCCTCTCTACAACGCTCAACAGCGGAACTACCAACGAGGCTAACGAGGCTAACAGTGCTAGCAGGCCTCAAACCTGTGGCTGTCACTGTACGCTGTCTGACATCTGAAGTAACGTTAGCAAACATCAGCTGCTCTAACTATCACACATGTACCTCTGAGACTGAAACATCACAAACCATCATCATCATCATCACCATCATCATCATCATCACCATCATCATCATCTTCATCATCATCATCATCACAAATCTAGGTTCAGTTTAGCTGTGAGAGCTTGCTATCAAACTAGTAGTTTAGGCATTCAAGTTTTACGAGTAAAAAGCTCGTCAGACACACACACACACACACACACACACTCTACTCACCTTGTGCAGCCAGGAAACAAAAGAAATACAGAAGGATGTAAACGCTGTACGATCGGACTGCCGCCATGATGACTACTGAACTACTCTAGTGAACCCATGATGCACCGCGCATACGGAAACGAAAGCGCTGATATACACACGACATGCCTTATTCCATAATCACTAACCAAGCGCTCCCTTCCAATCTGAGTCTATTTAAACTGCAACATTTCCCAGCTCTCCCTCTGCTCTGTCAATGCCACTGTTGCCCTGTATCTGTATTGCTGCTGCTGCTCTGTAAGCCCCCCAGCATCCACCTGTAGGCTCCGACTGGGGGTTAAGGTATTTGCTCCTCACTCCCCAATATCTGTGTGTAACATATCTGTGGGGAGTGATGAGGTCGGAGCCTGGACGCTGTACTGCTGTAATAAACATTTCAAAGGTGAGTTGTCTGACTGAACTGTCCATTATGTCTGTGGATTAAATGATCTTTCAGACGATGAACCTGGGAAATAGTTTTTATCTGAATTCTCAGCTTTTTCATCAATTTTACAGCTTTCAGATAAAACAGTGATTATTGGAGGTGACTTTAATATTAATGTGGACATCAATAATGACCTTAGTACTGGATTTATCTCATTATTACCCTTAATCTGTCATATGACACTGAAACTCAACATTTAATGACCTGACCATTATTTAACAAACACCAACAATTGCATTCATTACTACAGAGAAATAAAAACACCATTATATGTAATAAATGTAGATACCTGCTGAATCAGTTTCTTCTCAGAATCCTCAAATAATCCTTTAATTGTCTGGATGAAAAAAACATGTCCACTGTAAAAATCCAGGAAGTCCAGTAGTTTGAAGATTCATCAGATGATAAAACTCTGCACACTATAACACAGACTTTACAGACTTTACCACTGATTGATCTTCTGTTGCTGTGTACAGGTGGATGCTGCCTATTACCTGAGCACTGGGGGAGGGGAGGGAGGGTGTGGTTACATTCAGCTGAGCAGGTTTTTTCCAGGAAACAATCTGTATGAAAAGATACAGCAGATGGTTTCTGATCAACAACAGGTGTCCTGTCCTCCTACAGGTGTAGTTACAGGTTACTCTGTGGATTCAACTTTTACAATAAATGATGCACTAATAGATTAAATGAGCCAACAGTCTGAATGAGGACTTTTATTCTGATATTAGAGTAGATTTATAATTTCGTGTTTTTACTGAAGTAACGTGGTGAAAGCAGAACTATATGTTGGTGCTATTGTTATATATATACATATATATATATATATATATATATATATATGTATTAAAGGTCCAGTGTGAAACATTGAGGAGGATGTATTGTCAGAAATGGAATATAATATTCATAGGTATGTTTCCATTAGTGTATCATCAGCTGAATATAGGAATCATTGAGTTTCTGTACCTTAAATTAAATTAGAAAATTATCTTTATTACATTTTTATGATTTGAAACATATAATATATTGACACAATGTTAGATTGTTTCCCTGCAACAAAGTTCGGTATAGATGTGGATAATATAGTTGAGGATATATAATAATATGTAGAAGAATACAGAATAACCAAGATCATTAGATCATTAGTCAGTTTGTGACTAACTGACCCTAGAGCAGTCAACAAGGCTGCTAATACAACCTCATGAGTTCATCCATCTTAATCCATCACCAGCCTGCATACAGTGTAGTTTGTATCTGATAAACAGAATGTGAAGAGACTTCACTTTAATGTGTCACATCATTAATTTGTAATTGCACATTTCTTTCAATGTATTCATCGTTCTTAATGTGTTTCTTATTGTACAATAAACCTCTTGAATCTTAAATCTTATCTGACGGTGCATTCAGGGACAGGACTGACAAATGACACCACTTTGTTTGCCTACTTTACATGTTTGCCATAACAACCCTCCTCCTTCCTCATGATACACACACTGCATTGTCTCCCATGTAACCCAGAGATTAGACTGTTGAATCTCTAATGTGGAGGTAAATGGTTTCAGCTGCTGTTGAACTCAGAGCTGATCACAGACAGTTGGATTTGTTCACTTTAAGAACACTCAGGGTTATATGTAGTTGTACACCTGTTAAGGCCTGACTCTGACTTTATTACTTTGTTGTCGCACATATTAATAACAATAACTTTTATTGAGACATTGTCCCACACTGTGATTGGCTTTTCTAAAAAAAAATTTAACCAGAGGCTGTGAAGAAGGCACTGAAGGCTCTTTGTCAGTCAAACTGTGCAACATGTGGGTCAAGTGCAGGTTGCTGTTCGGTCGACCCAACAGAGAAACAGTGAGTCACCACAAAGTCACAAACTCTGGAACCACTGACTCAGATCAGAGTTGGTCCACTGTGAATTCATCTTTAATTTATAAATCTGTACAATAAACTGAAAAAACAGTTCACAGTGTTGGGATCTGAAGGTAGGCCACCTGTATATTCCTGTATATCTGACGTTGATATTTAAGTACATGTAGTCAATGGAAAGTCCCATTGACACAAATACAGTACGTCTGACAGTTGCCATGGACACAGGGGCCGTGGCTTCAGCTGGTCTGGATTCCAGCTCAGATCAGAAGAATGCCAACAGGTTCAACAGCGTTCAGACTCACAATGAGCGTCTATCAGCAGCTTTAATCAGGCGTCCATTAAACCACATTCTTCTTGCCATAATTTGTTCATACAAGATGGTGGAAACATTTCAAAGCTCTCATTCTATAAAAAAATATATATTCCATAACTCAAAAAGCTTCAGTCCTGACTTCCAAACAACAGTGAGATAAAGTGAGATATATCTAGGTCATGTATGCAACAACATGATGTCACATATATAAACAAATAAAGCTCAGAATCCTTCTTGGCTAACTGGTTCTACTGGTCATAACCACACAGACACACGTCATGAAGATATGTGTCAAAAGAAAACAACACTGTAAATCTGTCAGACACATCCTGACACTGAAAGATGAAGAAAAACTAGTCCAGGCTGGATTACTGCAAGTCCTCATTATCAGCTATATATAGTGCCAGCAAGACTCAGTTCACCTGGTCTGGTCTCTCTCTGCCTGGGTTCCTCCAGTTTGGTTTGCTTCAATTTAGTTTGTCTTTAGCTTCATTTAGTTTAGTTACGTAAAATAAACTTAATTTTAGTTACAACTCATGTGTGTTTACCAGCTTTGAGCCAGGTTGAGACAAAAAATACCAAACGGCTCAACTTGGACAAGGACGGGGAGACCACACACGAGTTGTAACTCATGTAAAATCCTCATTATTATAGCTGTTATCATCACCAGTATTATTATTTATTATTATATATAGTATGAGTTCATTGTAAGATCCTAAAAATTACAACAATATCCTGTGAATTAACATGTCTCATGTAAAATAACATGAGAAATAACTGTAGCTGTAAATAATCATTCCCTTAGTGCAGCTGAAACAGGAAATCATCACTGCTGAATGTTTTAACAAATACAGCACATATCATTAGTTCATTCATAACTGACGATGTACAGATCATCATCATCATCATCATCATCATCATCATCATCATGAGCTTTTATTTCTGGAACACTTTATTTTGTAGTCAAATGTTTGAATACAGCATTTGGTTGTTTGTTTTGGGAGATTATTCCAGTGGAATCCTCAATATGTGCATCGCATTTATAACTATATTGATGAAGACAGTCATACAATACCTGTACACAAACCATTTAGGACACAAGCCAATATAATATATATACAGTGGGTACGGAAAGTATTCAGACCCCTTTACATTTTTCACTCTTTGTTTCATTGCAGCCATTTGCTAAAATCAAAAAAGTTCATTTTATTTCTCATTAATGTACACTCAGCACCCCATCTTGACAGAAAAAAACTGAAATGTAGAAATTTTTGCAAATTTATTGACATGCTGTCCATTTCTTCTGATGCTCCTTGAGATGGTTCTGCTCCTTCATCCACGCACACACCTGTCTATATAAGACCTTACAGCTCACAGTGCATGTCAGAGCAAATGAGAATCATGATATAATATGTACTGCATATCTAACATAGTGATTCCTTTACTCCTGATCACGTAGCGTTTCCTTAACACTAGTTTTCATGAATGGATCTTTGATGTATTTCATTCATAATATGTTTGACTGATTGTAAGGTCAGTGAATGATTCAGTGTTACCTGTGGACCTCTGTTGATATACAGACACCATGAGGACAGTGGAGATGCAGTACAGACAGAACACCACTAGGTGGCAGAGCACACTCTGAAGACAAAGTGGAGGGGGCAGATGCAGGGTTAGAGGAAGTATATTAGGATTAAAATGGTCTCTAAAATATTGACAGTATGCTTTTTTTCCAATCTTTTCTATTTTTCTGTATTTTCATCACCATGGATCATGCATATCATTAGATGTCACTCATTATTGATTTAAGATGCATGCATTCTTACCACTGAATTGTAGTGGCACAATATAAACTAAAGTGAAGTTTATGATATTGTGCCGATAGATGGCACTAAATCCTGGACCTTTAACTCTACTCATGCCTCTCTTCGAGACACGTGTACGCCCACCTTCACCCTCACACAAGACATAACATCACAACTTTTCCCTTCCTCAGATGCCTTAAATATCCTAAATCAATATGTCTGTTCAGTGTTGAGCAGTTGAGTCAGCTCCACTGATCTCTACACAGTATAAACACTAAAGAATGCAGATCTTAATACATGTTTGTTGGATATTTTAGTGTGATATTGCCATTGTTATTATTACTATAGTAATATTATTATTAGTATTATTAGTATTATTATTATTATCATATTGACTCCATCAGAGCTGTTAAAGCCAACTGACAGCAGGTCCTTGCTGTGATCTGGTTGTTATCTGGCTGTAATAAGGAAGTAACAATGGAAGTTTAATTGTTGTAACCCTACATATGTTTGGTGTGATAAAACATATAGTGTATAGTGTATCCAGGAGTTTGTCAGTCTGTAATTATGAACAACAGACAAAAGAACTTACAGTCGGCCTAATCTGATTTCAATAAATCAAACCTTTGAAGCCTCATTTTAACATCAGATCATCAACATCATTCAGATCAACTTCTAAATATAATTTCTAGAATGTAAATATGAGTGTCCAGTATGAACAGGAAGATTACAGCAAGAAGAACCTGCTTCAATGTTCATATGGACACCTGATATATCTAATGTGTCAGCTGACTCAGTTTGAGCTCTTCATGATGTTTCTGAAGAAAATCAGGACCTGATGAGAGAAGAAACTTTACACTTTTTCTCAGCCGTTCACTGACTAAAGAATCCAAACTCTTCAAACAGACAGTCTGTACTGAAGCTGAATGATGTTCATGCTGTTTATAGTCTGCGGTTGAGGTTTCATTCTTTATCAGCACTGAAGAGAGGTTTGTATCGGTTAGCCACAACCAACCAGAACAAGTCAAAGTTTCCATCAGACAGCTTTGTGAAACCTACAGAACCACAGCAGAACAACAAGAATAAAGTTTATTGATCCTGCAGAGAAACAAGTTCACTGCTGCTACAACAAGAGTCCAAAAACAGAAATATTAATAACAGCAATATGCTTACATTAAATATAAAACAGCTGATAGTTAGCGTTAGATTCTGTTCAGCAGAAACATAAGAATGACAGTATAACATAATGAGTAATATGTTGTTCTTTTGCATCCTACTGAAATACTTTTAAGGGGAAAAACTTAAAAAGCTGACTTTTAAATACTATAATATTATAACAATCTTTTTTTTTTGCACCAAAAAACACAGAATAATTAAATGTGAGCTGTTTGTGTGTTTGTAGCTGCATGAGTCTAATTAAGCTTGAACATATTAAATAGGAAATAAAACTAATGGAAGTACTGGGAGTCTCTGGGGACCAGTTAGAGGACAGCTGGACATCAGTGGTTGGACTGGTTGAAGGTGTGAAGGTCTACCTCAGTGAAGAGTAGACGACCTCTGGCTCTGCTGGAAACAGTTTAAACTCAATGAGAAACTGCTGGAGACAAACACAGTTTGACACACAATAACTCAGGATGTTGTTAGCTTAGCATAAAGACTGGCAGCAGGGGGAAACTGCTAGCCTAGCTCTGTCCAAAGTTCATGAATAAAGAGCAGCTGTACCTCTCGTCCTGTTTGGTCTGATGTCTTTAACGACTATTTGTCCATAACTGACGTCTTCTGCTCCTCTCACTGCGGAGTAAACTGCAGCTGGATCAGTCTCTGCAACACAACATACACATTATATTACTGCAGGTAGTACAGCTGATACTGTTAGTGTACGGTTGTGTCTTCCAGTGAACGTAATAATCTGAGACACTCTGATGATGCATGGTGACCAGGTAACAAAAGTCTTGGTCTCTCTTTTCTCCTCTCTCTTGCTCTTCACCTCGCTCTCCCACCCCGGGTGAGAAACTCTCGGCCCTCAGTGAGGACAGGCCCACAGACATGAGAAAGGATTACAGCGTGGCACCAGAGCGTTTGTTTTCCTGGTTAGAAACTGTCAGCTGACTTTACAGGAACAACACAGAATATTAGCACCAAGCTGCTAACTGCTAACTTGTTGTTACTAACTAACTCCCTCTTAACTTGGAACCGTTTTAATAACTGATTGTGTTTATACATGCTGACCTATTTCATTTAACAGAGGGTGATATCAGCCTCTTCTATGAACAACTAAATCCTTTCACTTTAGCTATTGATATGGTGATTTTAGGTTAATTATTACTTTAATTATTAACACATAACACACACAAATTAATAGTTGAGTGTATTTTCATGAGACTGAATCAATCAGTTATTGGCTGTCGTTTCCTTTCTTTAAGGGTTGTGCCCAGAAGGATTTTAATTAGGGCTGTCAAAGATTAAAAATGTTAATCTAATTAATCACAAGGTTTCTTGAATTAATTTTGATTAATCACAATCCTAAATATGACTGAAAAATTCACATTTTCTGTGTACTGTTCTCAGAACAGAAAGAAAAATGACAAGAAGCGGATATTACATTTGTTTTTTATTAATGACAGATGAGACTTCCGGTCTGAGTGGTGCCATATGAGGACGCATTCTTACTGAGATCCTCGCCAACACTATTAATAAATATAGAAGCAGCTATTTAATGTAAAGACCTTGAGTCACGCTCAGGATCGAAGCCAAGATGTCGCACCAGGCTTGAAATTTTGACCTAATGCTCGCTGACAATGTGTAAAAACCCCTGAAAAGCGCCTGATACAAGGGTAAGCTCCAAGGCTAGCCCAGAGGCTAACGCTGCACCTGATGCAGTACCTAACGCCGCACTTGACTGCGGACCCGGACATGAGGCCATCCTCCTAGCAATCGCCAAGTTGAGGACTGAATTGCTCACCAAAGCGGAGGCACAATCCGCTGAAATTGGGAACCAGGTTGACCAGCTAAGAGCAGAAATTAAACTAACCAACAACCTGCGCATTACCAGGATAAAGGAAAGACGGGAGGAAGGGAAGCGCATGACGGATTATATATCTCAGTGCCTGAAGGAGACGCTTGGTCTTGATAAGCCCCCTTTATTGGACCGGGCAACAGTGACCAGCCGAGAGGCTTCGTCATCAGATGCCATTATTACCAGGAGAAGGAGGGAATACTAAGGAAAGCAGGGCAGATGAAACAACTGACTACGGGGGACGGTGATAAGATCTGCATCCAACCAACGCCAACGCCAAATGGCAGGCCAAGATTACATAATGGAAAACCTGAAGCGTGCAACCTGAAGATGTGACAGCGGGGAGTGACGTGCTTTTCCGTGGTTTCCCGTATACAGAGTACCATCCTGATAAAGACTTTGTTTAAGCAAAGGGGATTTTAATATCTCCAATCACCAGCCAAAGACCGTCAGCAAAGGCGCAAATTTACGACAAACGTTCTGTTTTGGGCTGATTTGGCCTTGATAACACATAACTGGTTGATTTAAAATGTACACTTCCTTAAATCTCTTCACTGTTGATTTTTGGCCAAAAGGCCTTGTTAGCACAACTGGACGGTTTGGAAACTTTAAACGTTTTATGTTGTTCTATTGTGTCCAGTATGCACCAGTAGAAATTTAATTTTATATTTAATTTTGGTTTTGAATTGTTAGGGCACTGATAACGCATGACTGGTTGGTTCAGAGTCTCTGTCTATGTTTGTTAAGGTTATTCACATAAAGTGGAATAAATAGGGTGCTAGATTGGAAATTTATTGAGTGTGTACTGTATTTGATTACAGTTAAGATCAGCTGCAATATGTTATTCTGTCATTAATATAGTGTTGGTGAGACTCGGTCTCACGAGGTAAGCGCTGTTATGTTGTGCGATGGTGTACGGCTGGGGGAGTATGTAGCCTTTCGTTTGGGGAGAGGCCAGCAATGGGGTTTTGTGAATGATGTTTTTGATTCTGTGTTTTTGTATTTTCTGTTGTTTTCATGTTTTTTATTATTATTTTAATTGCACAATGTCTAAACAGAGATCTGTCACTTGTGAAAAGGCTTTATGATCAGGCTGTTTCAAGGCAGACTGCTGTCAGTTCATTTCAGATACCAGAATATGGCGACCCCTAATGTTAGTGGTTCGGGGCAGGTAAACACTAAATGTACAAACTGGAACACTAAAGGGCTTAACCACCCAGTAAAGCCACCCAGAAACATTTTTCACTGACTTTTTCTCACTCCTTTCAGAATTACCACCAATTGGTCCTCGGGGGAGATTTAAACCTGATCCCACTAAGGACTGTTCTAGAGCTGTACCGGGAACACCAAGTAAATCAGTAGAGACGCTTTTCTCCAAGCGTATGGGGTGATTGATGCATGGAGATATAGAAATCCGGTTTCTAGAAAGTATTATTTTTTCTCTCCAGCACATAATTCGTATTTCAGGATAGACAATTTTTTGCTGGACAAGAAACTCCTCCCCATGCTGAGGACTAGTGAATATGATTGCATCGTTATCTCTGACCATAACCCATTAACAATGCTGCTTTGCTTTCCAGATAACGAGCCTCCACAACGCACCTGGAGACTTAACCCACGTCTTTTCTCTGATCAAGATTTTGTTAACTTCCTATCCGCCCAAATTGACTTCTTTCTAGAAACAGATCAATCACCAGACACAAGCCACTCTAACCTGTGGGAAGCAATGAAAGCGTATTTACGTGGTCAGATAATATCTTATAATGTAAGCATGAACAGAAGACTGTCAGCACCCCTTAATGAGTTGATGTCTTTGATAAAGGATGTTGATCATAACATTTTTTACCCTAGTCTTGATCACTATAGGTCCCTGAGTACTGTCGACAGGAAAAAGGACGATCAGAACTGGTTCTAGCAAACTGGAGATGCTGCAGCTAATGGCCAGAGCTCCCAGTTAGTTATAATACACTTCTTGGGGGCATATCCTAAAGAGTGCCTTTTGCTCCTCTTAACAGACACAAAATGCAGTTAAAATGTCTGTGCAACATGATCAGGGCCCTTACGTGACAACAACATGCCTTTTCAACTCATACGTTGTGCAGAAACCGTACAAACAGTACTGTCACCTCCCTGTTTTTCCACCGCTCGCTTCAACGAAAGCCCAGAATAATCGATCACAGAGATAATGCCTTCGCGACAAAAAAAAGTTTATTTCCCCCTCAAAAATGTCCATGTCTTCACACACTACTCTCTGATTTGCACACTTCCTGCAACAATCTCTTCTTCTGCGTTTCCCTGCAACAAGTGACTTCAGCGCGGGACCGCTCTGGCGCTGAAGTCCCGTGGGATTTCTTGTTGCAGGTAAACGCAGAAGAAGAAATGAGTGGAGATCGTTTGTGCCTTTCCAAATGGTGGCAACAGAATGAGAAGGTACAAGTGCCTACACTTCCATCATCTACCTTTGCATGACCATGAGATACTGCAGTTGTGGCGAGTTGTTCTTCAGCTGGACGTGCAAACTCCAAAACAAGTACTATGTGATCACGGAGATAATGCCTTCGCGACGGAAAAAAGTTTATTTCCCCTCAAAAATGTGTTGCTGCACATCCCTATTCAAGCCGTGTCTGCCAAAACGAAGCTAAATGAAGTTATGAATATAACATTTCCTCCACAGTGGTTGTCTTCATCCTCGGAATGGCATTTCTCTTCAGCCGGCCCCGCTGTGTTGTGTCTCTGTAGTCATCCTCCTCAAAATGTTTGCTGCAAATGCGGTGATCATTTTCGCATAGTACTTGTATGGGAGTTTGCACATCCAGCTGAAGAACAACTAGTCACAACTGCAGTATCTCATGGTCATGGAAAGGTAGAGGATGAAAGTGTAGGCACTTGTACCTAGCAAACAAAGGCGGCGTGTTCCGGTGGAAGTGGCATAATAAATAAAACACATAGAAAAGCAGGAAAACTCTCTGAAAACAACCTCGTTAGAGAGGACAGGACTTCACATAGTTACAGTGAAGAAACAAGAAGAAAGTTAAAAACTTTCGCGCATGCGCACATAGCTTTTCTACGTGTTGTTGTTATTATGTCGCTTCCACCGGAACATGCCGCCTTTGTTTACTCCAGAGAACAGCTGATCCTGCTAATGCCGGCCGGCGTAGTGGCCAGACCAGCTGATATACCACCTGAACTCTCGAGGAAAACACACCGGGGATGCAGAGGAGGGAAGCAACGTCGGGGAATGAGAGGAGGGTCGAGACGGGACGGGCTTATGGAGAGGGTCCCTTAGCAACAAAATGGACAAGCTAACGGTGCTGACACGGAGCCACCCGGAGTACCGTGAGTGCAGTCTGATGTGTTTCACTGAGACATGGCTGCACAGGGACATTATTGACCAGATCGTCTCCGTGGATGGCTTCCACACCGTCCGGGCTGAAGTCCCGTGGGATTTCACTTGTTGCAGGGAAACGCAGAAGAAGAGATTGTTGCAGGAAGTGTGCAAATCGGAGAGTAGTGTGTGAAGACATGGACATTTTTGAGGGGGAAATAAAACATTTTTTGTCGTGAAGTCATTATCTCTGTGATCGATTATTCTGGGCTTTCGGTGAAGCGAGCGGTGGAAAAACAGGTAGGCGACAGTACTGTTTGTACGGTTTCTGCACAACGTATGAGTTGAAAAGGCATGTTGTTGTTAGGTAAGGGCCCTGAGCATGTTGCACAGACATTTTAACTGCATTGTGTGTCTGTTAAGAGGAGCAAAAGCCACTCTTTAGGATATGCCCCCAAGAAGTGTATTATAACTAACTGG